AATGCATTTATCCACGGCAAAATTTATACTTAAATTTATTCTTACAATTCTAATACATTTGCATACTCAATTGTAAATTTGTAAACAAAAAGTTCACAACTCCGCTAATAATGCATGTATCCACGTCAGAATATGTACTTATATTAGTTTTTACACGACTTATACATTTTCATACACAATTGTACATTTGTAAACAAAAAGTTCACAACTTAGATAATAATGCATATATCCATTTCAGAATTTGTAATTATATTAGTTTTTACACGGCTAATACATTTGCATACTCAATTGTAAATTTGTAAACAAAAAGTTTACATCTCAGCTAATAATGCGTGTATCCACTGCAGAATTTATATTTAAATTAATTCTTACAATTCTAATACATTTGCATACTCAATTGTAAATTTGTAAACAAAAAGTTCACAACTCCGCTAATAATGCATGTATCCACGGCAGAATTTGTACTTAGATTAGTTTTTAGAAGGCTAATACATTTGCAAACTCAATGGTAAATTTGTAAATAAAAAGTTAACAACTCAGCTAATAATGCCTGAATCCACTTCAGAATTTATATTTATATTAGTTTTTACACGTCTAATACATTTGCATACTCAATTGTAAATTTGTAGACAAAAAGTTCACAGCTCAGCTAATAATGCATGTATCCACTTTAGAATTTGTATTTATATTAGTTTTTACACGGCTAATACATTTGCATACTCAATTGTAAATTTGTAAACAAAAGTTCACAACTCCGCTAATATGCATGTATCTACGGCAGAATTTGTACTTATATTAGTTTTTACACGGCTAATACATTTGCATACTCAATTGTAAATTTGTAAACAAAAGTTCACAACTCCGCTAATATCCATGTACCCACGGCAGAATTTGTATTTATATTAGTTTTTACACGGCTAATAAATTTGCATGCACAATTGTAAAATTGTAAACAAAAAGTTCACAACTCAGCTAATAATGCCTGTATCCACGGCAGAATTTATATTTATATTAGTTTTTACACGTCTAATACATTTGCATACTCAATTGTAAATTTGTAAACAAAAAGTTCACAACTCAGATAATAATGCCTGAATCCACTTCAGAATTTATATTTATATTAGTTTTTACACGTCTAATACATGTGGCCGTATGTTATTTTAATTAGTTTCTTTTATTTATTCTTATAATTCCGTATTAAATGTTGCTTATATTATTTTACAGTTTTCTTTCTTGTCTTTTTGTTCACGATCTACGTCTTCTCTTTTCAACTTCTCCAAAAACAGTGATCTGCCACTCCCAGGCCGCGTGCCTTTCAACCCCCGAAATTCATAAGCAGCGCTCTCTGAGAGAGAGAGTAACCTGCTCTCTCAGAGAGCGTAGCCCAACAATCGTGTGACCAGATCATAATAACATCAACTGGCCTGCTACAACTCGGCCGTCCTGACTTTGAGATAGCCCTCTATCTCTGACTTAATGCTATCACTTCATTACAATTTTAACATATTTACAATTACAATATTACAATTTGTTTTTCTTTACTTTACAATATTACAATTACATATTTTATCATTATATTATGATTTTATCCAATGTCTAATGTTATTTGCACTCCACACGCCTTGATATGGATTGCGAGACAACTGAAACCCATCTATATCTTTAAGAACATATCTATCATTTTTTAAAACTTTTACAATGACATAAGGACCCTTAGTCTTCGGAATGAGCTTTCTTGCAGCACCCACAGTACTGTCGAAATTCTTAACCATAACGTAATCTCCTTCTTTATATTCTGTTGCCTTCTTCTTTCTCGCATTGTAGTATTCTTCATTTTTCATTTGAGCCTGTCTTTGTGTTACTTCAGCTTTCTGTCTAATTTGTTCTAAATTTATTCTATTTTCCTCAATACTTTTTTCTTCTAATTCTAACTCATTTCTAATCTCTTCTTTCCCTTCTAATTTTCTTCTAAGTTTTTCTAAATTTCTCCTGTTTTCCTCAATAATCTCATCTTCATCTTCTAAGTTTTTCCTAATCTTTCCTTTCTCTTCTTCATCTTCCAATCTTTCCTTTAGCTCGTCACATGTTTCTCCTCTCTGTGTTATCCCAAATAATGTTTCACTAGGACATAACTTTATGCTATTATGCATCGTATTATTCATCGAATACTCAACCTTTTCCATAACTCTATCCCAATGTAAACCCTTTTCCGGTTCTATCAGTTTTGCTATCATGGGTCCTAAACTCCTATTTATTCGTTCAACTTGACCATTTGCCTGAGGCGAGCCCGTCGCAATTTTTATGTGCTTAACGTTACTATCTTCCATAAACTCTGTAAACTCAGACGATGTAAAACAACTGCCTCGATCCGATATTATACATTTCGGTCTACTGTACGCACGAAAATAGTCTTTTAATGCATTTATCACCTCTTTTGTATTCGTCGTTTTTGTTGTATACAACCTAACGAACTTTGTGAAAGCATCTACCACCACAAATATATGTTTTTTCAATCTGCTGCTATCTACCGGTCCATAATGGTCTATATGAATGATCTCAAAAGGCTTATTGCCTTTGGGTATGCTATGTAAGTGTCCGTCTCCTTTACCCACTTTCGGAGAATAAGCTATGCACTTTAAACAATTCTGAATATGCTCTACTACTTTGTCCTTCATGTTTGGAAACCAGTAGCTTTTCCCAATAACATCTAACATTTTATCCCTCCCAATATGACCCATTTCGTCATGGTATTTGTATAGCACGTGTTCCTCCATTCGATTCGGTACATAAAATAATAATCGGTTGTCATTACTTTTCCTATAAATTACACCATTTCTCATTTCGTATATCTTATGCTCGCTGCTTTCTAACATTTTCCTAATTTCTTGAACCTTTGCATCTTTTGATTGACAAATTACTAAATTTGTTTCGAATGTATTTGTCTCCACTATCATTATGTTGTTGCATCTGCTTAATGCATCTACATGCTGCATTTGTTTGCCTGATCTATGCTTTAATTCATAGTCGAACTCTTGCAATTCTAGAGCCCACCGTGCTATTCTTGGGTTCAACTCAATCTTATTGAGCGTTAACGTTAGAGAGTTGCAGTCTGTTACAATTTTAAAACGTTTGCCTAGTAAATATATTCTAAACCTTCTTAACGCGTAAATTATGGCTAAAGTCTCCAACTCGAAACTATGATACTTTGCTTCTGTTGCAGTCGATCTTTTTGAGAAATAGAAAATAGGATGCAATTTGTTGTCCTCTTTTTTCTGAAGAAGCACAGCTCCAAATCCTAAAGCGCTTGCGTCACAGTGAAGCTCAACATCATCTCTGTAGTCGTATATCGCTAAAACTGGCGCTTCCATTAATTTCGCCTTTAACAACGAAAAACAATCCAATTCTTCTGCTTCGAACTTAAAAACTCTATCTTTTCTCAGCAAATCATACAATGGTTTCGCTAATATCGAAAAATCCTTAATGAATCGCCGAAAATACGAGCAAAGACCTAAAAAACTTTGAACTGCTTGCACCTTGCCTGGAACCGGAAAATTTTGTATCGCTTCTAACCCTTTACTGTCAGCCTTAATCCCATCATTCGAAATCAGAAAACCTAAATATTTAACCTTGTCTTGTAAAAATTTGCATTTGTCCATTCTCAACTCTAATTTATTTTCTACTAGCCTTCTAAATACTTCTACTAAAACTTCTAAATGTTCTTCTAAACTTTTGCTTGCCACTAAAATATCGTCCATATATATGATCACCTTCTTTTGCCTTATCATGTCCGAAAATATGTCATTAACGAATCTCTGAAATACCTGCGGAGCTGTTTTTAAGCCCATCGGCATCCGCAAAAACTCAAATTGCCCCAATGGGGTGGTAAAAGACGTAAATTTTACAGACTCTTTGTTAACAAATACATGAAAATAGCCATTCTTAAGGTCTAATTTCGTAAACACCGATTTTCCTACTAAATTATCCAAAAGGTCATCAATCAATGGTATCGGATAATTATCCTTTGACATTATTTTGTTCAATCTTCTAAAATCGATACAAAGTCTCAGTTCCCCCGACTTCTTCTTCACTAATACAATAGGAGAAGCATACTCCGATTTACTAGGTTGAATAATTCCATCTCTAATGTATTCTTCTAACATTTTTAACAGTGCTTCTTTTTCACTATATGACAGTCTCCTCGGTGCGCAACTAAATGGTTTCGAGTTTTCTAACACTATGTTCATTTCACATTTTATTTTCGGACTCTCAGGTCGCTTGGCTTGAACATAATGTGTCTCTACCAACTTAATAAACTTCTGTCGATCCTTGTAGCTAATTTTTTCACCAATAATAAAGCAATTTTCTTTTTCATCATCCTCTAAAATATTAATATTCATAATTTCTCTTGTGAAATCGTCCCTATTATGTCCTAAAGTCTCTTCTACAATTTTGCTTTCGAACCTTTCTTCTTTTAAGATCTCATTTCCTAAACCTTTTCCCAAAATTTCACTTTCTAAACTTTCTCCTAACATTTCATTTTCTAAACTTTCTTCTAACATTTCATTTTCTAAACTTTCTTCTAACATTTCATTTTCTAAACTTTCTTCTAACATTTCATTTTCTAAACTTTCTTCTAACATTTCATTTTCTAAACTTTCTTGCTCACCTTCTTCATCCGCTTCCTTAGGTTCCTTAGTGTCATTCAATAAACTAATATTTGTCTTATTCTCAATTTGGGTTTCAATTTTCTCAACAGTGATCATTTTTAAAGTTTCTAAATTAATTTTCAGATTACAAGCCTCCATAAAGTCCCTACCCAGCACAATATTACAGCTCATTGAATCGTTAGCCACAGCAATTAAATTAAAATAAATCTTTATTTCTTCTTTCATTACATAACATAACATTTTTCCATAACTTCTTAGTATGCTTTTATTTAATCCATAATATAGCTTTTCATGAGGCTCTAATCTAATATTTTTGGGTACGCAAGAAAATTTTATCAAAGATACTGGGCTTCCTGAATCGATCAAGCATTCTGTAATAATTGGCTGGTTTGAGTTTGCATAAACAAAAATTTTAAACAATCTTACGTAATTATTTGCCGCATCCTTCTTGTTTTGGGGGCACTTGCTGATCATGTGATCCATCGCCCCACATCCATAGCAAGACCCAGGAGTCCTCTTCGATTTGATGCAGTCTCGTGCCCAGTGCCCTTTACCGTTGCAGTTATAGCAACGCGTCTCCTTGCTCGCCAGCTCATCCTTCGCGTTGTGCATCTTCTTCTCTCCAGCAGCCCTTACCGGCAACATTATGTTGGCAAATGCTTTAAGCATCCTTCCTGGGTTCTCGAAACACTGAAGCTTGGCCTGATTGCGTAGATTTATCGCCGGAATGCCAACAATAAGTCCGTCCAGCAGCTCGTCATCTTCCATGTTGACTTCTCGTGCCAGCCTGCGTTTTTTCTTCGAAATAGACTGCAAACTTCTCAGTTGGCTTCCATAGCCGCGCCTCGAATTTGCGTCTCAACTCTGCTTTCGACTCGTTGCCACCAAACGCAAGAAGTAACTGGTCTACCAGCTCACTCGTCGATTCTCCGAACCGGGTTGCATCCGCGTGTAGCCACTGCAACGCGCTGCCTTTCAGTTTTCCAATCAGCAAAACTCTACTCTGGGTGTCCGTTAGCTTATACAATCTGGCAACATTCTCCCATTGGGAGACCCAGGCACGAACAGACATGTTTTCCGAAAAATCCAATAAGATTTCCTTTGCCAAGCCAAATCCGGCTGACGAAAAATCGTCTCGAACGCCTCTTCCACTGTTAGCGTCGCTGCTGCCGTTTTGCCCGTTGTCGTTTCGTCCGAAATTTCCAGAATTCTCGCTGGCGTCTCTTTCATTCCTCTCCGCCTCATTCGCTTCGCCTCGCTCGCCATCTCTTTCGCTCCTACGGACATCATCGGTCGCACCGTTGCTACGCTCGCCATCTCTTTCGCACACGTCGCCGTTATGTTCAGACATGTCGTTTCTGGCGCCGCTTGGTCGCGCGTCGCTTGTTCTCGAACTGACGCTGTCGATCTGCTGCTGAAGATTCTCGAGAACCTTCCTTGCCTTCTCGATTTCACGATGCAGCTCCTCCATAGTTGCCATGCCACGAGCCAGTTCCGCCCGATTCTGCTTCACTCGCTTCTCCACCGCTGCCCCTTCCGCATCTTCGTCCAGAATTTCTTGCTCTTCCTCCACCTGGTTTATCATTGGAGCACTGCCTCGGCTTTCGGGAGTACAGATCAGCTTTTGATCCCTTCGTCGACAAGTTTAAACATTCTAGCCATTTTTTCAGCTGAGCCACCGTCACTTTATTAATGTCCAAATCCATTTCGGTTTGTTAGTTGACGTGCACAAAAAATTTTCTCGATCCCACTTCTGAGATTGTGGCCGTATGTTATTTTAATTAGTTTCTTTTATTTATTCTTATAATTCCGTATTAAATGTTGCTTATATTATTTTACAGTTTTCTTTCTTGTCTTTTTGTTCACGATCTACGTCTTCTCTTTTCAACTTCTCCAAAAACAGTGATCTGCCACTCCCAGGCCGCGTGCCTTTCAACCCCCGAAATTCATAAGCAGCGCTCTCTGAGAGAGAGAGTAACCTGCTCTCTCAGAGAGCGTAGCCCAACAATCGTGTGACCAGATCATAATAACATCAACTGGCCTGCTACATACATTTGCATACTCAATTGTAAATTTGTAGAAAAATTAATAAAAATTTCTTATTATTATTATTATAAAAAAAGTTCACAGCTCAGCTAATAATGCATGTATTTGCCACTTTAGAATTTGTATTTATAAGGGTATGATTGTGTATGTATGCTAGTATGTACATAATATGTTTTTAAAAATAAAAAAATTATTTTTTTTTTTTTTAATTATATTATATATATTTTTATATATTTTTATTTTTAAAAAAAATAAATAAATTTTTAAAAATTTTATTTTTTTAAATTTTATTTATTTTTTTTTTTATAAAAATTTTTTTTTTTTTTTTTTTAAAAAAAAAAAAAAAAAAAAATAGAATTAAATTAAGGTTTTGTTATAAATTTTTTATTTAGGAGGTGAAGTTTTTTTTATTAAAAAAAGAAGGAGTGTATTTATATATTATTTAAAGGAAAAAAAAAAATTAAAAAAAAATTAATTTAAAAAAAAAAAATTTTTTTTTTTAAATTTTTTTTTTTTTTTTTTTTTTTTTTTAATGAGTTTGTAGTGCTGGGATGTGTGGTTCCAGATTTGGTCGTATTGGGATCTCATATGTTCACTGATATATTTCAGAGTGTCAGGTGTGTTATGATTTTTTTCGGATATTAATGGCAATTTCGTTGCTTCCTTAGCCGCTTTGTCTGCAAATTCATTTCCGTTAATACCGCAATGTCCTGGTACCCATATCAAAGAAAATTTGTTTTTATATTTAGAGATTATTTTTTTAATTTCAAGAGTGTAGTAGTTGTAGTTATTGGGATTCTCTAGTGCTGTAAGGACAGACAGAGAGTCGGTGCATATAGCGAATTTTCCCTTATGTTTTTCTGCGTATCTACATGCGCAGAGGATAGCTGCTATCTCGGCAGTAAAAATCGACGAGTAAGGTGGGAGCATTTGCTGGGTTATGATGGAATGTGTGGAGGTTACACTGTAGGTTACCCCGTGGTCGGATTTAGAGCCGTCTGTGTACAGAAAGGTGTGGTATTTGAGGCTATGTTTTATTTCTTGAAATTTTTGGTAGTAAACAATTGGTGGTGTGTCAGATTTGACTGAGGTTTGTAATGATTTATTTATTTTGGGGTAGTAGTTATAGGGCCATGTGGGTTTTGTTTGTTTATTAATTTTAATGGGGGTTGGATCTAGGTGAATCGTTTTGCCGCTATTTATGGTTTCTTGTAGAGAAGATAATAGTTTAGGGGTACGTTTTGCTTTCAAGATTTTTTTATTATATGTTCTAACGGAGTTTTTTTTGCTAAAGATATAAGTTTAAAGTTTTTTAATAAGGCGTGTTTAGTTCTGTGTTCTATTGGCTTAATGTTGGATTCATAGAGTAGGTTGTTGATTGGTGTTGAGCGAAAGGCTCCGAAGGCTATTCTAACAGCTGAGTGGTATATGGTTTTTATTTTGATCAGTTTTGATTTTGGTGCTCTTCCATATAGAAACAGACCGTAGTCAATTTTTGACATTATGATTGTGTTGATAACATAAATAATAGTATTAATATTACAATTAAAACTGTTGCTAGAGAGACATTTAATAACATTTAGCCTTTTGGGTATTTGGATTACTAGTTGTTCTATGTGCTTGTCCCATTTATAATTATTAGTTAAGGTAATACCAAGTATTTTTAAGGATTTTACGGTCTTTATGTCAAGGTTGTTAATAATTTCAAAATTGCACTTTTTTTTTACGACAAATGTGTAAATGTTTTGTTTTCGGTATAGAGAGAGTTGCTCCGGAGTAATTGCACCATTCTTGTATGTCAGTGAGCAGAGGGTTTATATATAAAGTGTTTTCTGTTTTTTTTAGTTTTTTTAATATTGTATAGTCGTCGGCGTATGCGGTGAATTCGAAAGATTTGTGAAGGCCTATTATTTTATTTAGTTTGTTGTAAGCGATTGCAAATAGGATAACGGAGAGTGGAGATCCTTGTGGGATTTCATTTTCCAGTGGTAGAGGTTGTGACTGAATATTTTGGATCTGAACGGAAATTTTTCTATTTGTTAAAAAGTTTGTTATGTAGTTCATCATTTTCTGTCCTAATTTCCAGGTTGTAAGTTCATCTATTATGGTGTGAATTCCAATTCTGTCAAATGCTTTTAAGAAATCGAGCGAGATTAAGGATAGGTGGTTTTTTCTCGATAGGGTTGCGGTAGTCAGGTAGTCTAGCGAGGCTAGGGTATCTGATACCGACTTTCCCTTCCTAAAGCCCATTTGACGACTATCGAGTAGCTGGCTGTTGTTGACTAGCCACCATAGTCTTTTGGAAATTATTTTGTCCATAACTTTGGATAAGCAGCTATTCAGGGATATGGGTCGATAAGATGATATTGCTGTTTTGTCTGAGGCGGGTTTTAATATGGGTATTATGATGCTTACTTTGAACTGTTGTGGAATGTATGTGTTAAAGATGTTGTTATAGAATTTTAGTAGTCTATGCATGGCTATATCTGGTAGATTCTTTATCATTTGATAGCTTATACGGTCTCTACCGGGAGTTTTACCTTTAAGCTGATTAATGGCGGCTCTTAGTTCAATGATAGATATTTCAGATTCCAATGGTAGGGTAAGGGGGGTTGTGTCGTGAGTAATATTCAAGTTTATGTTATCTTTGTGTGACCTAAATTCCGTATGAAAATTATTATTAAGTGAAGCGTTTGACCACTGTTCGCATAATGCTTTAGAGATATCTTTTGGTTTTGTATAGGTTTGAGATGGGTTGCGGGGGTTGGCAAGACAGTGAATTTGTAAGTGGGTTTTGAGGCCACAGAATCGATTGATTTTTTTTCCATAATATTGGTATTGGGGTTTGTGAATTTATGTCGGAGGTAAATTCAAATAAAGCTTTTCGTTTTTTTATTTTTTATTTCTCGTTTTAGTTTGGCATTCGCTCTTTTATATGTAATAATATTTGCTGTGTTTATATTTTGGCACATGGTTTGCCAGGCTTTTCTTTTGTTGTTTTTTAATGTTTTAAGCTCATTGTCCCACCAAGGGACCTGCTTGGATGTTTTTAGGTGGTATTGCGGAATAGAAAGGTGCGCGCTGTGCCGTATTATAGAGCAGAGGTTGGCTGCTTCTTTGTTTATTTGTAAGCTGGGTGGTCTGTTGTCGGAAAATTGTTTGACTACTGATTGGTATAGAGGCCAATCAGCTTTTTCTATGTTAAATTTTGGCTTGGTTATGGAAGAGTCAATTGTTTCGTTTTCAAAAAGTACAATCGAAATCGGGAAGTGGTCGCTTCCTGAGAGGTGACTGTCAATTGACCATTTGGAGTGAAGTTTTATTTCCGGAGAAGCGATTGAGAGGTCGATGTGGGTGAATGTGTGGTGTGTAGTGAAGTGGGTGGGTGAGCCGTCATTAAGTGTGTTTAATACAGACTGGTTTATGAATTTGAATAGTATGTTGCCTCGTGGGTTATTGTTTTGCGAGCCCAGCTTTTGTGCCAGCTGTTAAAGTCGCCTGTTATTAAGAGTGGAGTGTCGATAAAGTTGTAAGTGTCATGCAAATCTTGTAAAGTAAATTTTTTGTTTGGTGGTATGTAGCTAGAAATTATGGTGAATTTAATCTTAGAGTTTAAAGTTACGGCTATTGAATCAAAACTAATGTTGCTAATTTAAGTTTGTTGTTGTTCTAAAGAGTTGTGAAGTAAAAGTGCTACTCCGCCGTAGGGGTTGTTAGAGTTATTTGTGT